GCACCCCCCCCACCCTCCCCACCCCCCCCACCCCCCACCCCCCCACACCCCTCCAAATAAGAGGGTGGTTATGCGGGGTGCTGGGTTGCACCCTCCCGTGGCCCCTGAAGCGCCAGTAAGCCCTAAATCCTGAAATCCTAAATCTTAAGCCCGGCCCGGAAAGCCAGACAAATTGGCTACTTCAACGCCAAGTCGTAGGAAATCAGGGGACGGTAAATCAAAATGATGCCCTACTGGCTTTCCAAGTATGCCCAACTGGCCAAGGCGACACGGTGCCAGAATGCCATGAGAAAGCTTGGCTTCCTGTGGATCATGGATCTCCTGAGTCTCCCCATTCCTAGGGATCTGAAACTCAGATCCCTAAGGCCCTTGGGTTTAGGGTCGCAGGACATATTGCCCCGAGAATGGAGAAGTCAGCTGGCAAAGAACATGGGATATGCCATGGAACCTTGGGTTGCATAGTGGTGTATACTGGATTCTTGTTGAACAACATCTTTCATTTTTATGTATACCTGGGTCCAACACAGATTACAAATAATCTTTTGAAATAGTCTTTAAAACAAGAACCCAATATAGGGTAGTTGATCCAATTTCCTGATTCCAAAAGGATCACTGAATGATTTCCCCAAAGGGCTTTTCAGATTCTCTAGATCAACCCCAGCAGGCTGAAGGTGGGCCTAAAAAGAGGCATGTTACAGGTGAGGCGTGGTGAGGGGGAAGAGATCCATCTCAGGATCCTGAACGCAGATGACAATCTGCAATAGGACGTGCCGCGCACTGGCTGAATCTTGCAGTGCGCCGAATTCATCTGAAGGGAGATTGATGATGCTCCCCCTTGCAGCAGCAGAAGGAATGCCGCGTGTTGGGTGAAGCGCGTGCAAAACACCTTTCTTGAATGGTCGCAGACGTGTGTCATGGCATCGATACCGCCAGCAACCCCAGCAGATGAACACAGGTCTGTAGGTGTGGTAAATAGTAAACCCTCCCGGATATGAACTTCCTAAAGCTATTGTAGAGGAACAAATCGTTGCCACTGTCACAAGGTTTTGAGGTTTGTTTGAGGAACTCTATACCACAAGTATGCCAGGAATCCAGGACCATGATATTGGCAGTTACGTAGTCTGCTACATGATGCCTTAGTGGTACACGCCCAGTGTAAAACTGCAGAATCGCCCTATGTATGCGTATCCTGCCACAGCAACCTCAAGCAACTTCGTCTTGGAATCGTCGCACTCATCGTTGCAGAGGTTTCAATCGATCTGAAAGCGAGATCCCACACTTATAGGAACTGTGCTTTCTGCTGGATTTCTCTGGCTACTGCATACCTCTACAACGTCTTGGAGCCCGCGCAGTTCAGTCCCACACTTTGCAAATGGCTGATGGGTAGGGAATGAGTGCATCGGCCAACACCATGAATCCCCGTGAATAAGCTTCTGAACTGTAAGAAGATTCACAGGATCTAAATCCTAAGCCCGTAAACTCCTGAACTCCTAGCCGCGGGTGATTGGGGAACTGGTAAAACAAGGTACCAGGTGGGCAAGCCCTCTGGCTACGTGATGTCTTTGGATGCTTTGGTTTAGGTTTTAGGATTTGGGTGGTTGTCAAAATTATGACCCTTTTTGGAACCCTATTATAATACGGCACCTAATATTTAGGGTACCCAAAAAGGGGTCATAATTTTGACAACCACCCATTTAGGGTCTAGGGCTCCCTAAGCCCTAGACCCTAAACCCTAAACCCTAAACCCTAAGCCCTAAACCCTAAACCCTAAGCCCTAAACCCTAAGCCCGAAACCCTAAGCCCTAACCCTAAACCCTAAACCCTAAACCCTAGACCCTAAACCCTAATGCCCTCCGACAAGCACTGTACGTCGTCATGCATGAAGTCATGCTCGAGGTAGGACTTACCCAAATTACTGGGTTGCTTTTAAGGACCTTAAGTTTAGTTACCACATTGAGAATGTAGGAATTCACAGGGTTTCCTTACCAAGGTAATTCAACCAAAGTTCCTGAACAGCAATCCAGATCATTGATTGACCCTCCTTTTCTTGGCTCAAATGTGTTTCATTGCAGCAAAGCTTGAGCATCAGCTTCAACACCAGATTCGAACTGTCTGAGGTTTAGAGTTTAGGGTTGGGAGTTTAGGGCTTAGAGCTTAGGCTTCAGGCTTTAGGGTTCAGAGTTTAGCGTTTTGAGTTTAGGGTTTAGGGCTCAGAGTTTAGGGTTTAGGGCTTAGAGTTTAGGCTTTACGGTTGACAGTTTAGGGTTTAAAGTTTCAGGTCTAGGGTGTAGGGCTCAGGGTTCAACCCTAAACCCTCGTTTTGTGGGCTTGACTAACCAAATCCCCTGACACCCCTACCTAATCGGTGCCGCCTCGTTCGGAGGGAGCTTCCGCTGAATCAAGGCATCTGGCGGGATGAGCACCCTAAGCCTTAATCTCTTCCCCTAACTGTTAGTTCCCATAAATAGGGGGTCAGCGCCGGTAGGGTCTTACTTGTCTTTAGAGAACAGCCCTTGCTGAGGTGCAGATATAAGTGTGGATGTGGGGTACATCGCTGCATATGCGAAGCAGGGTACGTCCGACTTGCGTTGCAGTATGATCTTCAGAAGTGGTTTTGAACAAGGACCTGCAGACTTAGGCACGCCAGAGTTTTAAAGTGGACATCAGGCACGTGATGGGTACAAGGAGCCAAACAGATATGGGTATGTCGGATATGTGCAAGCAGTTCTACCACTTTGGTGTGGGCAACATGCCTCGGACTGATTCTACCAGGCAGCCAATTTATGGAATTTCCCTGCCTATTCTCTAGCACGTCAGTCCCAAGTTGGATTGAAGCGCAGGAGTAAGAATTAGAACGTTTACTCATGTCCATTTAAAGAGGCCAGGCGACATCGCGTTCAAGTCCCAGGCAATCCTTTTATCGTTCCGAATGCCGAGCTCCAAACTCAAAACTCCAAACCAGAACAAATTGAAGATCCTCATGTATAGAACATTCAGGCTCGATGGTGGACCCCATAGCCTAAACCCTTTGCCTTTAAACAAGCTAGAAACATTAAGAGCACACCCACAACCCCCCCAAAAAACGGAGGAGGGGCCTTCCGCATCTCATGGCGTTTAGGGATACTAGCGCCAATAACGGACGATCAAATGGACAAGACAATGGAAAATGAAATGGGAACTGAACTGGTCTTATAGAGGGTTGATAGGGAGACTTACCAATATCGCGGTCCCAGATTCCTTGCACGTTTATGGTAGAGGGTACCTGAAAACAGACCCTAAAACGATATTGGTGACAAGTAGGCCGCTACATGAAATTGATGTGCAATATGATTCTGCATCATCCCCTTTGTTGCATCTGCCTGGACGGTCTATGTATTATTTTTCCGTGCTCCCAGTTCCATGCAGGCATGGAGTCAAACTTTGCGCGCGGGATTTCTTGGACAAGCGCCCCTAAACGCCGAAGGGGGCAGACAGAAAAGAAGCCTCCTGAACAAACCCCCCTGCGCCTTCGGTCCAATTCAGGGGTTTCCCGCTACAATGCTTACAGTAGTGGGGGGTACATCTGATGAAGGCTACCACATACTCGTATCCCCAAGCACTCAAAATAACTTTATCGAACCCTTTGATGGCTATACGTAGAGCCCTGTGAACCCCAAACCTATACCGGCCAGAATTTTCCTAAATCCTAGCCCTAGGCCCTACACCCTAAACTCCAAACCCCAAACTCTAAACCCAAAACATTCTGGCTTTACCGCGTCTCAACATATCATGAAGGAAGCTTAAAACCATACATGCTGCAGGGCACACCACCCCAAACTCCACCACATCCGGCTGCCTTGAAGATAGTTATACACGGCCATCTATGCTTTTCACGCGACATGTGTGCTGACCCACCCTTCAAGTCAAGAACAGGTCTGCGCCTGGCACTTTCACGATAGTTTGCTGGAAGGCGGGAGGCTGCTGCGGATGTGCCTGAGGTTTGAAGCTGGGTATTTAGGAACTAGAGGTTTATATGATATCTGATGAGGGTGGCGCTTAGGGTCTAAGCCTAAACCCTAGAGAACAGTTACTGCACTTGGTTTAGAGTTGGGTGTCTGGGAGTTGAGGGTAAGTTCAACGCTCGGCGTACCTACAAGTGCCTCACTAATCTTCATTTAGGATTTATAGGGCTTAGGGTTTAGAGTTCAGCATCTTTCAACAGTTGTGCCCGAATGGGAGCTAGGGCTCCAGAGTTTGGCTTTAGGGTGTGAGAGCTCGAGGTTAAGGACCATTGTCAAACCCAATTAATACGGACTAGGTCCCTTTACAGAGGCTTTAGGGTTAGGTTTAGGGTGTAGGGTTTAGGGTTTAGGGTTTAGGGTTGGGGCCGGAGGAACCAAAGCCCTCGGTCGTCCAGGTCCTGATGAGAGTGAGTTTGCAAGTATCTGACCTCGCATGCTAGTTTCCATTTGGGATGCTCGTGCCCGCTGGATGCGGGCCATGCCTCGAGATCTGACATGACTAATAGGAGAAAGTATAGGGCTTCTGCAATATGGATAATACTCCCCGAAAGTACTTGAAAACGCGCACCTCCTAGTTGAATCCAAGTACCCAACTGGAAAGGGTTCTGCAGCTTGGGGCACTTGAAAGTTCATGATGGGACTTAGTCACGACGTACTGGGCAAAGCACTGCTTAACCGCCCCAACTGGAAATTTATAGGCTATCCAGATTATGAAGGGATAGAAACCCCAATTAGGACTAGTTACTGAGCCCCATGAACTAGTGGGCTCTCCAGCTGTCTATGTATGGCTCGGGGGGGTGAGTTCATGGAGTTGGGCACGCGGGCAGCACAAGCCCAGCATAAAGTCTTCATAGTGAGGAGCCCGCCAGTTCCGGATCCTAGGCCTGTAATCTCCTCAGACCTATAATACAAAAATCAGGGATTCCTTGGGGTTATACTGAAATCAAAATTCTGAATAATTCCTACGGAGATTGCAGGAACCATGGTCACTCAAAATGGCACCACATCAGCCTAGGGCTCCTCGAGGCCAAGTAGGCGAAGTGTAGAACTGCACTAGAACTGCACAAGCTTTGAGGGGGATAATGCAGAGGTCCAGGGATTTCCAAGCTCTTGAAGGTTCGGGTTTAGGGTTTAGGGTTCAGGGATGAGGGTTCATCAGGGATGCACGTTGACCTCCTTCTAGCCTCTGGGATCCGGAGGGATACAAAAGAGCATGTTCTCCGATCATCCGTTCTGAAAGTATTCAGCCCTCGCCCGAGCAGCATGCACATGTATGATGTTCACCTCATATGTGTTTGGGGTGTGGAGACTCTGGAAACTCTGAGCTAACATGTCCAAGAAAAGGTCTGGGGTATGTGTTTTGCTCCTAGTTTGTCTCCGTGGCATCTCGATCCAGGCACGATCACAGACATGGAGCTCATGCCTGGGGAGGCGGGAGGTTCCAAGCAAAGAGCATCCCGGCTTGTTGCCTTGTCAGGGAATTTGGGTTTAGGGTGTAGAGTTTAGGGTTGGTCGTTGTTGGATATTTTGTTTGTTGAAGTTATGTTAATACAAAACATTAATGAGCAAACAACACCCCGCAAGGAAGCAGCTGAATTCCCCCATACTCCCTCCCACCCCGGAACAATGAACATCCTCCCTCTCAGCATTGCATTATATTGGGTAGAGTTGGTTAATGCAAGCCCTGGGCCCCAAACCAGGGAGTATTTTGTAATTCAGTGGAGTTTAATTGAGAGTTTAGGGAGTTCCGGGACATCTCGGAGTATCAAGTGGTAAATCGATGGGATGAATGTAACCCTAAACCCCTGGGATTATGGAGGAGTTTTGCAGGGGTTACCATCCCGAGGCCCTACTACTACATGCCCCACACCTGAACAAGAACTATTGCTGCAGTCCAAATTCCCTTGCAGGGGGTTATAAAGGGGACTATTTTAGAGGGTTATTCAGGGGGATGCTAGGAGTTTAGAATATAGCTGCAAAATATTGCCAGTGCTTTCGCCGGTGTAGAGTAGTGGCAGTACATTGTTTGGGTGGTCTGGGGGTGAAGAGATGATGTTTTAAAATGTCCACAGCTGAGGGGCGCTACAACCGTGAGAGCCCCCGAGATTTCCTTCATTCATCCCCTAAACCCTAAGCTCGAAAAAGCTGCAGAAGATTTAAACTACATATTTCTGAGCTTGCAGGCCTCCAGCAAATTCTCTCATTGGCCGTCTCTTGTGTAACAAATGTTGTTGGGTTCCCCTGCCACAGACCGTTATTTACCCTTATACATCCCCTTATAGCCCTTATATAGCCCCTATATGATTCCTTACACAACCCTATATATCCTTTAACATTCTCTGTATGGTGCCAACTTTGAGGCTGCCAAGACGAAGTGCTTCAGTGCTATGCTCTCCGGACTGGACATCGCTGCTCAAGCCTTGGAGCAGAGCTTTCAAAACTACTCCCTGTTGCTTTTTTAGGGAATGCGAGAGTGGATCATATGGACTGTCATAGGGGAGTACATAGAGACTGGTATGCGGATCCATTCCCTCATTCCCTACGAATTGCAAGGTAGGCAAGAGTGAGAATCGAATGGCAAGTTGAGCAGGTGCGTCGGCCGCAGGCAATCATTTTAAGCCGGCTTCTCAGAAATGCTGCTAACACCAAGTCCATGTTTGCACCTGCGAATGCCACTAGGTCCCACAATGGAGCTGGCACAGCAAAACCAAGAGCTCCTCAAGAGTATCGCACTTGTGAATGCCACCAGGTCCGACGAGCGATCTTGCAAAGCGCAACTATGACCTCATGAACCTGATTGGGCATTTCTGGCATGCTTTAGGATTGATGAGTGGCAAGTCTTGAATGGGGACGATTCGCATGCTCAGCATTTCAGTGTCCATCATGTGTTGCAGGCTTGGGATTGGCCTCAACGCAAAGCTCGTGGGCCCTGGAACGGAGCGGAAGTTGTGCTCATTGCATGATGGAGTTCTGGACCACAAAATCTCATTCCATTCCATGGCCTGGTGGAGGAACGCGTGCGCAAAACCATCGACGCCCAGATCCTCTTGGGCACGCCGGGCAAAATCATGGACAAAGGGGGTTGAAAATGCTTGCAGCTGACATGTTCTGGAGGGTTTTTTGGCTGAACCTTGATGTTAAGCCGTGTGCCGCCTCGCAGGACATGTGCAACAAAAGGGTCGCCATCGTGAAGGAGCTGAACATGTTAGTACTCGACGAAGTGGACATCATGTTGGACCAGGACGCTGAGCCCCCACCTAATATGCAAGCCACGGCCAAAGACCACTACTCCTGCAGGAGAACTGGCTCGGAACCCATGTCTTCGACATCAGGAACCGCTGCCCAGCAAAGATCCAGGCAGTTGTTCGTTTTGCTTTCCATTTCCCTTTCCATTATCCCTAAATAACCCCTAAATAGTACCCTAAACCCTAAATAGTAGCTTCCATTTTCTTTTCCATTATCCCTATATAACCCCTAAATAGTACCCCATGCGTTTTTGTGTTGCCACAATCAGCTGCTTCTGCACTTCCACAAGTTCGTGCTGCTCCAAACCACTTCATGGCTTACGTGCGTAAAGCATGAAGAGCAGTGATGCTGTCGTCAGCTCCTCTAGAGAATACCACGCAGAAACATACGCCTCCAGCCAGCCAAGGCTGGGCCGAATGCTTCTAACGCACATTGATTAAAAACCCTACTTGGAGGACCAACGTAGTAAGTATACTTGTAATATAAGCCATATGGTAACCTCAATTATCCCAATGAATAGCCTACTTATTCAGTGCTCCTGACCCTTGAAGTAATTCCTAAACCCGGCCTTTGACATCTAGAAAGGGTTTAAGACTTACGGTCTCAGGCTGGTATACGTTTCAGCTTGAGACCCAAATCCTGAACAAGACAATGCTTCAAGTCCGCAGGTGATCCGACTGAGCCGTTTGAAAGAGAAGGCAAGTCATAGGGACCAGTCGGCACGCAGCAGCAAAACAAGAGCCCTCTCGCAGCTTCAGCGTCTAAGTGAATTGACGTCACTAAGGTATTTGGCCCACATTTGTTCTCAGGTAAGAAGTTCGAGCTTGTGAAAGGTTGCAATCAGCCCTGCTGGCTCTCGTGGGTTCGCATCAACAACCCATGCAGTTGTTCCTGCCTCGACCGGTAATCATTCTGATGTCACAAGAGAGCAAAACCACAGCAGTTTGGGGATCAGTCGTTGTGCATGCGAATTTTAAGGCATGAAGCTGGAAGCATGTCGCAAGGCAGCCTCTCCATGAATGGCACGTTTTGGAGGCATTTTGGAACCGCTTCAGCGTGTCCCTTGAATTGTGCCCTACTCAAATGGTAGTTTCCCTAACTCGCGCACCCCAATATAAACCCCAAATATTATAACCCTGATTATAAGAACACCCAAAAAGGTACCCCGCAATTCTGGGAAACCACAAATTGCTTCGTGCAAAGGCAGACTTTGGAAGCTGCCATGTTCAAGTGCAAAAGTTTTTTAGGTCAACTACCCAGTCTTTGGTAATGAACAGGACGATCAGGACGATCAGTGCTAATTTGAAGCAGGCACTAATATCTTTTCGTAGTCTTCATGATCCATTTCCCCTTGGTTACTAATTACCCCTTAACCTTGAACCCTAAACCTTTACTAAGCACCATGGAGGCGGGTTTCTTGGATCAACGGCTGTCGCGAAGTGATCCTGTCATGACGTAACAGGGCTGTCTGGCTGCATGCAGAGTTTGATCCCAAGTACCCTCTTGTGGAGTCATGGAATCCGTGTGGGGGTCTGGGAATGAGGCGTCATTTTGAGCTATAGTATAAATTTCTTAAAGAGGCTTATATAGAGGATTATATAGGGGACTATTATAGGGGTCATTAGGGGGGAGACTAGGAGATTATATCTAGCCCACGGCTCATTTGAGACGCAGTGCTTTCTTTTGACGCGGGTTTCGGAATTTATTTTCTTTGCGTTCCGTCGACCATGCCTGTCGATTCTCCTGGTCAGAAGTCTTAGCTTGGAATATTGACAGACTGAATATAAGACTATGTTTGGTTGAGCTGGCATTCTGAAACACAAAAAACGTGTTTCAATTTGCAATTCCGAGTTTGGCTCAAAATCCGCTCAGAGCGTCCCGCTGAGCGGTCATGCCAGGCCAGCAAAGTTGAAGACTCACATGCGCGGCCCATAACTTGGAGCCTCATACTGTGCTTCAGGATCCAGTGAAGCCTTCCACAACCTTAAATCCAAAACCCCAAATCCTAAACCGTAAGCTCCAAGCCGTACATCCTGAACCCTAAGACCTGAACCCTGCCAGAGTTGCCGTAGAATCCCTCTGCAGCGCTGAGCCGCCCATTGGTAATGCCGCAATCGGCATCACCGGGCAAAGTCCCGCTCAAGGCGGGACATTGGAGTTTAGGGTTAGGGTAGGGTGTAGGATTTCGTGTGTACTGTTGATGGTTTAGGGTGAAGGTTTAGGGCTTGGGATGAAGGGATTTTTTTTGGAATACAACTCGAGTAGAAGCCTTAGTCCAGAGCATACCATTTTATCCTTAGGGTCCCGATGGGTCCGCCCGATTTGGTTGAGATGCCTGGGGGTGAGTCTTCCGTCCTTGGTGCTGGCGATTTTTAAGCTCAGGGTTCCAAGGTACGTAAAAATATTTTCGCAAGTTGCATATTATACAGTCCGTATCAAAGCAGCCCCATAATGACTTGAGGTGCAGCAAGAGGTTGCAGGTCGTGAGCAGAACAGCGTAGAGGAGGTGTTTCCAGGAGGCAAATGGCTTCCCTTGCCACCACATATACTACACGCCCACCCAGGTTCCCCCTGACTGAAGCTGATTCAAGGTTAGCTACGGCACGGGAAACATTACGGGGGCAGGGGGGTTTGGTTAGGAAAGGGTGTTCACCAGGAATCTTGTCAGCTCACATATGTTGTTCGAATTAGAAGCATTGGTTTGCAAAGATAACGTGTGTACTCTGTGACATTAGTTGTCAAATGCATTGGTGTACTTGAAAAAAGCCAAATGGTTTTGGATTTGGGCTTTCTTTTTTGGCTCCATGGTTTAACTTTCGGATGTTTGGCTTGGGCGTGCAGAGTCTTATTTTTCATTTCATCTTCCGGTGCAGGGTTTACAGGTAGCATGGGCAGCGGAGTCATTCCAATTTTTACCCATGATGCGTCATTCGAAGAATCTGGTGTTAATGAAAAGTGCAGCTCTTCCGGAAAGAGAGCCGTAATTCGGAAAGAGAAGAGTTGAAACATGGTTGATGGTTCTTCGCGAAGCTCGCACTTTTGGAGTTGACCAAAAAATTCCTGAACACAAAACATCCAAAGCGCAACTCCCTCGTAAGTGGTTGTCTTGCACAACAAAAGGTAATCCAACTTTATCCTCACTACCGTGCGATCACCATTAATACGAGGCTCTCAAAAGGTAGGCTTCATTTTTTGAAGCCCACCATGAAGACTAGCCTCTGGACAAGACTCTACACGATCTGTGTAGTCTGCTACTATGCTCATTACGGAGCATTTCGCTTTTGATAATTCCCTACGTCATCCCACGTTTATCCCTATGCTCCTCTCACCTGATCCACTCCAGAACAAGAAGCCCGAATCCTCCGCACGCCCCAGAAATCATGCAAATTTTGCTTATAGCATCTAAAGCTCCCAAGTCCGGCATGCAAACCTTCAACCCAAAAACCCTGATCAGCAAACCTAAAACGAAGCATTTTGACCCAACACCCCAAGCGTTCAACCCCCGAACTCAAGCCCCTAAAGCCGACACCCTAAACCAAAGACGCTAACGTAAAAACCTGACGAGTCGCCAAGGTTGTTCCTTTATAATCCGTAAAATGACCTCAGTATAAGGTTCAGAATTTAGGGTTAATATGTCCCAGACTCCGACTACTATCATTTGTAACCCCTTACATAAGCCATGTTTCCATTGCCCTTTCCCATTTGACATCACGATTTTCTACTTCTACTTATTTGCTTAAACCCTACCCTAAACCCTATATGAACCCTATCAATCTCTCATCCCTTAGCCCTGCACCGTGACTCAAACCCCAAGTAATCCCACACCCCGAGGCCACAGAGAAAAAATCGACAGGTAGCAAAGCCAAAGGCGTGGACATCCGGCTTTTCAATTGGAGTTTGCAGGGTTCCCTACAAGTCCAATGTTGCACCTTTTAGTTGGTTGTAAGGGGTGCGAAACACGGAACATAGTCCTTTCAGCGAACTG